ATATCTGTCCTGCTGCCAGTGTGCAAGGCGACAAAACATTGTGAGAAATGACTGACCCTGAGGATCTCTCGGGAGATGTAGGCGATCCAGTCCTCCTTCAGCGAGTTGCCTTTCGTGTTCTTCACCAGATCTGTGATGGAACCGGCACCACAGAACTCCATGACCAGCTGGACGAGACAAGAAGACAGAAACAGTCACCATCACGCAGACTTCCCCCTTCGATAAACCACCACTACATTCATTTTGTGGTGTAACTACCTTCAACAAATAAGAGAATTAATGAGAAACTACAATCTGTCAGCTTGTACTTTGCATTTTCCATTTGTGAGTCTCGGCCTGAATGCAAATGCGCCGGAGCGCTGAATGGCACGAAACAATTAAGGAGTATCTGGTAACAAGAGATGGGAGAAGGAGCGAGAGGCCCGCGGAAATAAAAACAAAAAAATCGGTTCCCACAAGTTTACTCTGTGCTGGGGTTGAGTGAAGCAACGTGGCTGCTGGGAAATGTGGTCTTAATGTGAAAGATGGGGGCATTAACAAAAGCCAACAGCTAATATGTGGAGGTAGTTTTCTCACCATTGTTATTCAGCAACGCTTATAGTTGGAAGAAAGTTTATATGCAGCTCAACGGGCGACTGACAGCGAGCAGTTTGGTTAAAATAATATCCTAATGTCAGTAATTCTGGACATCAGGCAAAACGCCTCAATCTGGACAACTTTATTTTGTAAAGTGTAAGATATTATATTACAACAGAAAATGATTATTAGTCTAGTAAATGATAATAAACGATCTCTCAGCTTCATTGGTGACTGTGTTTTCAAAGAAAGTTTATATTTAACTGTCTGAACTCTGTTTCCTGGTTGGCTTTTTTTTCTCTCCGGCCACATTGTTGCTCACCACTGACTCATTTTTCGTTCTAATATAAAGTCCTGCACCTCTATGGAAACAGAACAAACATGTCTGGAAGTAGAGAGAACTCACTCATGTCTTTCGTTAAGTATAACAAATTTCGAATGCCATAAAATATAAATACAGGAAAAGCAAAAGTGAATCTTATTTATTTTACAAAACTTAAAAAATTCTGGGATTATCATGACCAACATTTTTCCAAGTGTCCACAGGTGTTACCAACACTGGGGGGAAATGTCAGCTCTGCAAACGATGGAGATTTTAACTCTTGTATTTTTAATTTGCTTTCATTTTTGTCTTCTATCTTCTCGGCGGAAACACAGCCTGCAGTTCAGCTGAATCGTCTCTGAATTTATGGTCACATGACTGCTGGTTGGAGCTCAGTCACTGTTGTGCCAATGAGCACTGAGGTTTTAGTTTTTTATAGAATCTAGTTTGAACACAGGATTTGTTTTGGCAAAATTTCAAATGACACGTTTAGAATAAAGTGATTGTAATGAAATATGACGATTTTAAGCTTGGATTTGGTTCATTTTACAAACAAAAAGTAGATTTTTTGTTGGATTTCTTCATGAAGTCGGGTCCCTCGTGGTCAGATTTTGATGGTAGTGTCTTCTCCTCTAATGCAGTATAGTGTAGCTACACTACGTCTGTATTTATAGGCTGGATCAAGGATGAACTACCCTTCTGTTAAGGACAACTAATTTAGAATGCTATAAAATGTGAATACAATCAAAACCAAAGTTAGTCTTATTGATTATTTGTTTTACAAAAATGTAAAAAACTCTGGAATGAACACATTTTTCCAGAAACAACGCACATCACACATGAGACATTCAAGGACCGTTGTTAAAAATCCAACTCCTCTTACTGTGTTTCAGGTTTCTGATTCTAACACATGATGTCATTTTGGTGATTTCTTTAAAGATAACATCCTTTCACAGCCACCGGTGGGTTTTGGGGTTCAGAGGGTTGAACAGAGTATAAAAATAATACAAAAATGAGCAAACTATTTTAAGATTGTAATTACCAGCCAGTGGTCATGATGTAAAGAGGACACACTACACTCTGATTCATATGGCTTTAACACAAACAGCCCTTCCTCTAATTTCCCTCTGCCTTATACTTTAATGACCACTAAACTTATGTCGGGTTGCTTCTTACGAGGAGATTCGCTTTACAAACACATTAAGCGGTCTTCTTCAGCAGACAGTAGACTGAAGCAGAATATAAAAATGACAGATACGCTCTCTGTCACCCACACAGAGCAGCCAGCATGAAGCTGTAACAGTGGAGGCTGTAAAAAAAAAAAAAAAGGGGTCGTGGAAGCAGCTGTAAAAACAAACAGAGGCTGAGCCGTGCAGTGAGAGTTGTCCTGTCGAGGAACGGCAGAGCTGCAGGGTCATAAAACCAGGTAATCCTGCCTTTAACAAACGAGCTGCTGTAAATCTGTACTGCTGCTGCTGCTCTCCGCCTCCTGGACTCCTTCTCTGCCTCTCCTGTTTGTTTCATTTGTTTTATTCATTTCCTCTGCACCGTCTTGTTTGTCTTTTCTTTGATTTGTTGTGTGATTGTGTAACATCAGCTTTATTACTCCTCTAATGTGAGCGTCTGTACGGGCGGTAACGGTAAAAGAAAACTTTGCAATGTTTGTATGAACAGACAGAGTGTATGCAAGCATTCTAACTCTGTATAAACCTGACACAGCAGCAACAGCCCTCCATCAGGACCAGAACTGCAACCATTACTCAATTCATCGTCATCTACTAAATTATTTACAATCCATTTTAAAGTTTGGGTAATTTTTCAAGAAAAAAAAAAAGCCAAAATTTCTGTGACTACAACCTAATAAATTTGAATATTTTCTGATTATATTGTCAAACATATTAAATTAAAGTTTCTGAAATGTGATTATTTTCTGGTTTCTCTATTACAGCAAATTGAATATATTTGACTTGTTGACAAAACAAGACATTTGAGGACGTCATGTTAACTTTTAGGTAACACTGAACAACATTCTTCCCCAAATTTCTTTTTTTTTTTTTTCATTTTATGGCCCAATAAACTGATTGATTATCAGACTAATCGACAAGCCCTAATCTGGACTACATGTTGAAGAGTTTGTTGATTGCTGATGTTTATTACCTCTAGCTTGTTGTCACGACTGACACAGTGAAGCAACTTATCAAAAAAAAACCTTGTTTATTGGGAAACATCGAACTTGTTTTTCAACACAACAAATCTGTTCATAGTAACAATGTGAATATTCAAACATCTATTCTAACAAAACTTGCAAGTGATGTAAATTCACGTAAATAAAACTTGTAGCACCAATCAGAGGAAAGATGTTTTGTTGATTTATAACTTTCTTGCAAATGAAAGAGGTCCAACTGTGTTCTGTGTCTTATTAAGGCCCGCCTTTCATAAAAATCTGCTTTAGTTATGTGTTTTTATTACTTATGTAACTCATAATCTAGATTTATGCTGCTTTAGTTATAATTCCCTCAGTTTATTAAGTGTATTGACGATTGATTTGAAAGCCTCGTGTTTGTCCTGTTAGACTTACTGCATTACACTGTTAACACAAACACTTCCTCTAAAGCCCTCTTGCATTTCAGTGGACAGAAACTTGGACAGAAACTTTCTTAGTGGGGCTTCGATTGTGAAACGCTTGCAGGTACATCATGAGTCACAACAAAGACAATTTTTAGAATGCTTTAGATGAGTAATCCAGAACAACAATGTGTTGTCAACCTATATAAGAAAAGTGATAGAAATGTGCGATATTCTTAACTGGCAGCATGCACATTATATGAAAAGAAGTTTATCCATCTTTGTTTTGTCCCTGACTTTTCTCAAAGAGACTCCAAAGACAACTTTAGTTTTCTTGGGATTTGTTTGTAAAAATCTGTGCAAAGTTCTTTACCTGCTGTGTAAAGTGCTTTAAGGTGACAAAATGTTCTCAATTGTCACTATGAAGAAGTTTTATTGTATTTTAATTGACTAAAATACAGCTTGTAACAACTGAAAGGTTGTGACTGATCAAGACCAACTAAAGAATGACTCCTGTATTACATTTCAGGCAAATTTAACTTGTATTACTTTGCTTTTAATTAGTGATGCACGATATTAAAAGTTCTGGCCGATACCGATATGTGATATTATATATTTCTGATATTACCGATAACCGATATTACCGATGTCGATATTTATTTTTTGTTTACACTGAAAAATGAGTATAAGTAAGCACTGTGAGAATATGAAAACTATTCTAAAGAAGCCCAAATTAGACCACATAGTCTTCTTTATTACGTAAAAAAAGTAACACATATTTAAAAATATTGTAGCATATTTAACGTTCAAGTTCAGAAACATTTTGGTAAAAACATCTGTGAAATAGCAGCAGTATCAAATGTAGAGATGAAGGCTCTAAGGTTAGACAATCATCGGTTTTTCACATCGGCTAAATTTCGTTCATCGGATCGATGCCGATATATCAGTAAAAACGCTAATATCGGCCGATACTGATGTGGTCGCTGATATATCGTGCATCCCTACTTTTAAGACATTATTTTATCATTAATGTTGTGTTAAACTCACCCAGAGTTGGTCGTCGTGTCCTGGTGGACTCTTCTTGATGAAGGCTCCATAGTAAGTCGCTATGTTTCTGTGGTGGGAGTACTTCTTCAGCATGTTGATTTCCAGCTTAATTTCCTCCTCTTCATCCTGTGAGAGAGAAAAAGGGGAGGCCCATCATTGTGGAGTTAACACGCTGTTATTGCCTGTGAGACAACTGGGAAGCAATTATATGAACTAATGATGTGGATCAAAACAAACAATACGGCTCTATTTTCTTCTTCAGGTTGTTGAAGCTGGAGGCTCTCAGGAAGGATGGAAAATTAGCACTAAGTCACTCTGACAGGCTGAAGACTGTTAGTGGAGCGTTTAAAGATCCGGTCACCCGGAAAGATGGCGGCAGAGGCAGCAGGTTTTCAACTCTTTTTCACTTTTGTTCACTTTTTTCTGCCATGTGCATCGATGACATTTGTCTCTTACTACAAGTCTTTAGACCTGAAAGTATTTTCCAAATGTATTGCTTGTAAGCCTTCGATCAAAATCACACAAAGCTTTGGACATATGTGGCCATATGATTTTATTGTGTGTTTTCAATTTCACAGTCCAGCATTAAAAGGTCTCAACTGAGCAGTAGACCTGTAAGATTATTACATCACGCCTGATCCTCATAATTTGAGCCGACTACGATCATTTTGCATAGAACTGTTTCCATTAACAGCTGGATGAAGCTAACAGAAACGTCATGTTTCATTTAGTATTTCCACGTCAGTTTCCACCATTTTCCACTTTGTGCCTCCTTCCTCGGCTACGGTTTAATGGAACCAATTGTTTGCCTTGAAGCCCTTGAAGATGCCACATGATATCCGTTTTAACAAGTTTATCCAAATTGATGTTTCAGCTCTAAATACCACACAGACTGGGCATTATACCATGCACCTACAATACTTCTGGTTTTAGCTGTGTTCCAAACAGGCTGTTTCAGTGTCTGTAGCTTTAAAAGTCACTGATCTGCTGCTGCTGTCTACATCTGTATCAGGAAAAGGTGCTCAGCTGAACCTTTATCTGCGTCTGCTCTGTTCTGTACGTGGGAAAAAGGAGCTCAGAGAATTATCCTGTTTTGACATCACCACAGGCTGCAAACCTAAAGAGCTCAATCAGACGTATTTTCTAATCTATAGACACTTAAAGGAAACAAGAGGTCTTTTCTTGCATTATAATGGCGTCCATAAACACTGCGGACTTACAATTATGTTCAACAACTCGATTTTTCACAACATGCTGCCGTTTTCCTTTTTGCTGAGCTCCTACTAAAATGAACATCATGGATTTAGCTGCACAGCCACACCAGACCACAGCTGTTCACACATTTTGGTTATAAGCCCAATAATAAGCCAGAAAGGTGGTGCTCACATGCACAAATACTGCTTATCTAAAACGAACAGAGGCACAAAATAAACACAAAAAACTAAGAAATCAATAATTGCAATTATGTGTATGACTAGTAACCCTCGAAAGTCAAAAACCCACCAGCAGGTTTAAAAAGCTAAGTTTACTGTAAAAGGATGAGACCGATGATCACAGGCAGAAACTGTACAAACAGGAAGGATTTCAGGATTTCTAACTTTCCTTGAACTCAACATGTGTAATTTTCTTTTACATCAGAAGAACAACCAACCATGAGCTAAAAATTGAGATCTCTCATTAAAGTCACTGTCATATTAAATTAAACAGCAGCTCTTGTTTAAAAATGTGCCCAAAATGAACTGATTGCAGATATTTCTCCTTGCCTGCCTGAGCTGAAAAAGCTGTGCAGTCATATGGCAAAAACATTCAAGGACTTTTCAGCTGAAGTGCAGGCAGTGCTTACACACAGTAAAGTGGAGATATGTATGGAAAAACACCATTTGTTTCCCAGCATTGGTGCAACCTGTGGTCACTTGGGTTCCAGTTTTTTGTCAATTGTTGTCAAATGAATGAACAAAGATTCAAAGCATTACAACTTGTTTCCATAGAGGTGCAGGACTTTATATTGCAGTGACTGCTTCAGAGTGTAAAGATCAACTAAAACTGAAGTAAAGAAGAAGTAAATATAACAAATATCATCTAGTTCTAAACAAAAAAATCTATTTGGATGTGCTACGTTGAGCTCTTGGAAAGTGTTGTGACTTTATTTGCATATATTAAGCAAATCTTCGCAAATCTATCAAACTTAAATCAACATGAAAACTGTTTGCCCTGAATGAACCCTACAGGCGAACTGAGCTGTACTGAAAGCTTTAACAGCGTCGCCTTTTGTTGCATTACTACAAACAACACAACCAGTCAGTGCTGGATATCAAGGAACACTGTAGAAAGTGTGCAGAGTGGAACTTTGTTGACTTGTATTTGGGTGCTGTAATAAAAAAAAAAAACACATTTGCATATTATTTAGGCTCTCTGATTTTCACTCTTAGCTTTAAAGATCTGGCTCTGCTCTCAGTGGGACACAGAAAAATATCAAACATGAAATCAGGTTGTTGTGTTAAAGAAAAAAAAAAAAAAGGCACACAGTAAAGCTACAACTCTGGATTTATCCCTGTTTGTTGGCTTTCATTCTGTTTATGAAAGTCGGGGCCAAGCAAGGAAACAAACGGTGTCCAAACCGGTCCAACAAACGGATATCACTCCAAACAAACATGCAGATCCAGCCTGAACCTGAAACGATAACGGAGCCAAACAATCCAGCATCCCTCGCTGTCACACTCTCAGGATATTACAGTACAGACCAGACAGACACGGAACAAGATCCAGCGATTATTTCTCACTCGCTGCCACATCACTGAAGCTGTGTGACATTTATTTGCGAGCGCCTCGCCTCAGCTGAGTGTTTGATCTGGGAACCCGACCGGGGGCTGGCGTGACAGGACATTTTCTCTGTTATTACGGCTGGTCGATAAGCAGCAGCTGCAGCCTGGACTCCTGAACAAACTGCAGCAACTTCTTGTGTCCTCAGAGTGAAAGCTTTGAGGAACTGCGAGGTAAAAAACGGTTTCTGCTTCTAACGTTGAAGATGGTGACATTTAAGCACTTTGTAGTACCGATGTTGCAGCTCTGCTAACCACACTTTCATCACTGCCGGTGCACTTTGGCTCAGTTTGGACATTAGATCTGGATTTGCTCAAATTTATCAGAAATTATGACAACTTCTCTAGAAAATCCACCATAAAGATAAAGTTATATAAACACCCCTGTTCACACACAAATACAAAAAGACCACTTCTCATGTCCATATGGTATTTGTTTTAGATGCTTGAACAAGTGTGGCCAAGTTGCTCCAGTATTACAACTTCTAAATGTGTCATTTGGATACACAAGGAGGACTTTTTAGGACTTTAAGCAATGACTGTAGTTGGACTTTAAAGTTACGACATACAATGATATTATAGACAACCATGTGCGTCCAATTTTGTGGCAACAGCTAAAGGAAGGGCCACAAAGAAATGGTTTTTCCATGTTGAACTTTCATCTAACACCTTTGGGATAAACTGCAACAACAACCCAACATTTTGGGTATCTCTGGGATTAAAAACTCAACAACACTTACTAATTAAATAGCACAGCGTTTTATTTTGCAACCACAACACCCATTCCTCAACCTGCTCCAACTGTTTCTGCAGCTATTCCAACGCTGGGCCCCTGAGATCATCAGACAAGCTGCTTGATTATTGAGGCTGGTGGGTAAGATGAGGTCAAACTTCTGCAGTAGCATCTCCAAAGCTTTGGAACAGGCTTCCTCCTTCAATTAAATGTTGCTCCATCGTTGATATTTTCAAGAAAACCTCAAGATGTACATGTTTCAAATGTGTTTGGCTGCTCTCCAAGTGCTAATATTTCTTTTTTCTTTTTTTTTTTTAAATTGATCTTACAAGTTGCCATCCTCTCTTGATAGTTTTAGTATTTTATACCATTTTCTTCTTATTTTTTTTTTTTTTAAGCTGGCTGTACATGTTTTATATTTTCTTGATGTTCACACATCATTTTTGCTGCATATCTGATAACATGGACATCACTTTGGTCAACTTTTTTTTTTTTTTTTTTTTTGCTATATAAGTAGATTGGATTTGATTTTGTTTTCGCTATATAAAGATGTAGGTAGAACCACAAAGTGAAGTAGAGAAGAAAATATACGTTTGAGCCAATCTTCATGGTAAACATCAGCACTAAAGATGAGAGGTGGGTCTGCAGCTACCACCAACAGAAGAAACAGCAGGGTTTTTTTATTACAGAGTAAGAGCCAGTGATTTCCAAAAACCAGACAAGATGTGCCAGAAGCACACCAAGAGCGTACTTTTTGACTTTTTCCACATCCACAAAATTAAAAGGTCGCCGTTTTGAGAGACTCAGGCTCATCGCAGATGGTGCTTTACAGACCAGGACTTCAAATGAGTGTTCAGAGCGATGCAGCAGCACTGGGAGCACAAGAAAACTACTTCGTCAGGAATGGTGGCCAACTACAAATCCGGTAAAGCCTTTGATTTTTAAAGGTGGAGTCTCAGGACTTTTTGATCAGAACTTCTACTGTGTCTTAGTGCAGCCCAAACACAAGCAGAGCTCTGTGCTTAACAAAACAAGGACGCACACTTTTAGTTGATTTATCCTGAAACTGAGATACGGCACAACAGGACTGCAAACACTGACAGAAGAGTGTTGTCAACAGGATCCAGTGTGGAGAAAAACGACATCAGACCGTAAAGAACCTTAACTTACATAAGAGCAGTCTTAACTGTAGGAGGCACATTAACCACTGGTTCTAATGCATCCATAATAAACGCATCATCCGACTGGTGTTAATGCTGCTTGATGACTGCCAAGACATTATCCAACCTTTATATTTATCTCTGCAGGTAGCTGCCTCACTCTGCTGGCTGTCAAAGTCAGTTTGGTTGTCAAAATGGATAAGTCACTTTTTTTCATTACCGGGTTGATGTTAAACGATGGCGCTGGAAGAAACTAAAACGCGCTCGTCTTATCGAGCGCTGCAGCTGCAGAAGCAACAGACGACAGGCAGCCCAAGACTCCGCTGACATTTCTGAGTCAGGCCCAGAGGTTAAAGGGCAACTCTGCCAAACTTCAGTATTTAAAGATGAAAGATGCATTCACTGTCGACCTCT